TTCATCAGAAAAAGTTGCTCATTATTCACTCAGGTATGAATATCTTATTTCAGATATATTGATATATTAAGTTAAATCATATTGGCTCGTTGTTGTTAATTACTGATGATTACTCTTCGTTATGCTGATTGTAGGTGGCAGCAGTCAGCGGTTACCAAGCTACAGTGTCATTGGCAAGATTTTTGCTCCACTTCCTTGCCAAGGTAAGGAACATATTCTTATTGTTGCTGTAATTACTGTTACTTTATCATTGTTATCAATATCAGTTTCATTATTATTATTCTTTATCCACATGGGAGTTGCTTAGGAACTTTTCAGCTTTCTAATCTCTGGGTTTGTTTTTTCTGGTAGCTGCTCAACCCAGCTATCATATATTCCTTCTTTTAGCAGCTGTAATATGAGCCTTGGGGAAATTGGAATGAGAATTTGGTTTTCTCATGTCTCTTTTTGTTGTATTGCGACTAGCCCTTGGGTCTATCAGACTGCCTTCAGTCCATGTCCTGCAATCTGAGCTGGATGTCTCCTTGTCTCACAGGGTACAAGTTAGATTCTTAATTCATGTGTTCCATATAAGATCCTGTAGTTCAACCTCTGCTAGATATCATGTGGTTCATGAGATGGCCAGCCACTGGTACACCATGCTCTTATTTGTGGAACTAGCAATGCCAAGGGTAATTTGTTGCATTTGTAATGATAAGTCATAAGTTCACATCACAGCTATCCCAGGGAGCAGCTAATGATAAGTATGATGTGATGTATGTGAGATAATCAAGCCACTAGCAAGGTGTGCAGTTCTTTGAAAGGACTCCATCAGTGTGGTGGAAGGAAAGCACTGACCACGTAGCCAGTGGCCCAGGAAAATAGCCTCTCACAAGATATGTGAATGAGCCATGCTGGATTCACAGCTGCTCAGAAGGTTTGATCAGGGCAGAACTTAAGGATTGACATCTGATGCTTTAAATTCAAGTTGTGAGGATTGAAACAGTGGTCCCAGGAAATTTAATGCATGCAAACTGTGAAGCTTGCTTGCCGCACCATAAGTGCATAATATCTCCACACCTGGCTACTCCCTTAGTACATCATATAGTACATTGTTATTTCCTTTGTTTTCTGTCACTCTTACAGTTGTTACAACTTGCTTTTGTGCTTCTGTTCTTGCTTTTCAATTGTATGAGAAGTAGAGGATGTTAGGGAGATGAAGTAGAGAGGGTTAGGAATTAGATAGAGTAAATAAAAGATGTGATATGCAGTTTTGCCAACATAATTTTTGGTCCTCCAAAGCTCATCATGGACCTGTTCAGACAGAAATATAGTTTGTCATTCATCAAACTCATCATTAAGTCATTTATATTTTTTAATATCATTTTGGTAATATCATCATTATTATCTTTATAGTTGTTAGTATGAAAGATTTAATCTGTTTTTCCTTTTTTTTTTACCATAGATAACTAGAAATGTCTTTTTTCTTATCTTGATTACAGAACTGATTGTTGGCATGTCCATTCCGCAAATGTTGGACCTTAAGCTTGCAATGTACCTGCCTTTCTGTCAGCTGCTACAGCCGGGAGTATTTGTCACCTGCGCTGACGACATAGAAACTTACTGTCTCAATCCAGAAGAGCTAAGTTGGTTGATTTTATGGATGTGCTTTTTTGAAATTTTGAAATTGACATATTGTCATTATTATTGTTGTGGATATAATTTTTATTATTATTATCATTATCAATGTCATTATTATCATTATTATATTATATTATTATCATGTATTAATATAATTATCATTATCATTATCAATATTATTATCATCATGATCATGAATATGATTATAATTATGATCATGATGCCAATGATCATTCTCATTGTCATTATCGTTGTTAATGTTATTGCTGTTGCTGTTATTTTTGTTTTTGTTATTGTTATAATTATCATTACCATTATTGTTATTATTAACCCAATACCAATATGGGAAAATATTGCGTTCACTTTAGTATTGTTTTCTTAAATGTTTTTGTACATAGATGGCTCTGAGCCAATGCTATGGGTAAACAGGTGAGACAGGTAGTTCTTGTAATTGTCTTGGTGAATTAGTACTGGTTCAGCCATCTATATTTAGAAACAATTACTAAATTAAACATACACTGGGCATGGCATATACGCACATGCCAACCCCGGCGGCATGGGGTTAACAATAGTATCACTATTATTATTATTATTATTATTATTATTATTATTATTTTCATTATTTTTATTATTATTATTATTATTATTATTTTTATTATTATTATTATTATTATTATTATTTTATTTTATTTTATTTTTTTATCATCATCATCAGCATCATCATCTTTATTATTATAAGGATCAATATTATTGTCATTATTATCATTGTCATGCTATAACATTTTATCAGCATTAATGTGAATTTTTTTTATTATTCTCAAGATTCAGAAAATATGAAACACAAACAAGAGTTTCCAATTTCTCATGCTATTTTCTCCTTCAGTAATCCTCTCTTCATCCCAACTATTTACCAACAGATGCGAAAATGCTTCAGGCAGCAGATGTAGCGGCATTGGCACACCCCTCTGACATCCAGACAGGGAAAGATCATGGAGTTTATGTGTTTGAGGACCAGGACTCAGAAAATATGGATCGAGACTGTAACTGTGTGATGCAGTGTGCAGAAGTGTTGCAGAAACCCACAGAGAGCATCATGAGGACCAGGGGAGCAGTATTAACCAAAGGTTTTTGTGAAAATGTGACATGTATTTTGAATGCAGAAAGGTATGAATGAGAATGAATATCTTCACAATACATTGGATGTATTTGACTGGTTTCGAATATATCTTTGTCAGAAATACATACATTTCTGACAAAGATATATTCAAAATCGGTCAGGTACATCTCTTGTATTGTGAAGATATTCATTCTCACATTCTTACCTTTCTACATTTGTCAACATGAAGACGGTTCATGTATTTTGAAACTGTATGATTGGACAACAAATATCTGGTTGATTATACTCTGCATTAGAAGAATTTCTTATGCCTAATATTGAATTTCAGAGGACAACGGCTGTACCAGAGAGCAAGTATGGAGTGACAGTGTATTCTGGCTGAGTGCAAAGCTGTATGATAAGTTATTGAAATGGTATAGTAACAACACCCCATTAACTTCAGAACTAGATGCCTATGCACACTTCCTGCCATGTCTCGGGTCTAGAATGAAAAACGCAAAGCCCTCAGACTTTGTAGATTTTCGGACTGAGATGCTGCCTTTGCTTCAGGACAGTAACTTCCAACTGGTCCTTCTTAACAAGTCTAAGTTCTATCATCTTGGCACGATGCAGGAATATCTAATGCACTTCAACATCTTGGATGTGTTTTGCAGAGAATTAGGAATTGTAAAAAACACAAGTAACATTCCTAAACCCTTCATTGAACGAAATAAAAGCTCCAGTAATGATGTTAGTATTCATGAAAAAATGGCTATTGAAACCTATTTTTCTGATGCAACTCTTGGGATAACAGTTCTACAGGACAAAGCTCAGGTTGTCATTGAAAACTGCTTTATAGATTTGCCATTAGAGATAGAGGGCCACACAATCATTAGTAACTGCACCTTGAAAAAGTGTCCTAGTGTGAGATTTCTCTATGATAGGGTCAGCTTGTTCCAGGGTTTCTTGTATCACACTGTACCTATTACTTATGAGAACCAAAACCTATATGTAACCATCGCTTTTGACATAAACTGCAACATGAAGAAAACATCAAAGAATTTGTCTGAGATTGAGCTGTATGGAACTACCCTTAGTGATGTGGTTTGTTATCTTGGTTATAAATCAGAAGATGTGATGCCAAAAAATGCAGCAGTCATATCTCTTTGGACAGCAAAAATATTTGTGGGGAAACCTACAGCTGCTGAGAGCTTTTGGTGGACCCACTACAATGTGAATCTGGTGCTGAACAAACTGCAAGGTACACCAAAGCAAACAGAATTTGATGGTGATGATAATATGGTGTTACTTAGTATGTATGAAATTACTTTGAATAAGAACCTAGAAATTTTATTGAAGGACAGAGAGCAACTTAGCTGCCTTTTGAAAGAATAGATTTATAGATGGCCAGATTTAATCTTATGAGTTATGAGCAGACAGCTCAATGTGCAATACTGATTTTTGTGAGTTTATTGCATTTGTTGCAGTGTGTATGATGGGAATGGGAAAATCTCAAGTGTTGTGAAAATTATAAAGAATTCTTAAATATCATATTTCTTGATATAGTCCAAACAGACCTTTATATAACTTGACATTATATAATTTCAAAGACTTTATTATTTAAGCCTTTAAGACTTCAAAGATTTTATTATTTATCAAACTACAATGATGAACCATTCTTGGTGCCACTACTATCTTTTCTAAAAATTATGTCAGTAATAAGAAAGAAAGATAAACCTTTATATTCAATTTTGCTAAAAAAAACTTTACACACTAATAAAAATTCAGATATAACAAACTTGATTATTTTCAGTGCTGTTCATGATGGTCATTGATTTTATATACAGAGGCATGGCAACCCTACCATGGACAGCAATTCTATAGGCACCATAGTTACTCAGGTCCTCATCCTGCTGTTCTGCCACCCAAGATGATCTGCTATAGTTGTGTTATAAGGCAGGACACCCAGTGTTGCCAAGACACACATTAATTTAATATATATATTTAGTATTGAAACACTAGAAGTATTCCCCTCTTTAAAAAAGTGGGTGTACCATCCACTTACACATACTGGCACCCATTTTGTCTGGATGCCAGTATGCAAACAACTTTCCCAGGATGCTATACCCTACCCCAATTGGTTTTGGTCCAGGACAGAGTATACCACTTGGTGGTATACTCTGTTGGTGAGCTTGAGGTCAAAGAATTTGAGGTCTACTTTTTCACAAACTTTGTTTTGCACTGACCTTTTTCATATATAAAATCCAAAAGGCACATACAGCTTAGAGAGAGATAGGACATCCACAGGATAATGACCAGAATTACCTTGATATCTTAGTCAGTCACATGGTGCATATGCTTTCTCATGAGGACTTTAGCTCAAGCCCCAACCTTGAGAGTCCTGGGGCAGGACCCCTCCAGTATGTCTTCCAGTATAGTTTCTGCCTGGATCCCAGCCCTCAGGAAGGTCTTTCATGGTGTTCTTCTGCATGACCAGAATCATCCTGTGTTCTTCAAGGGAGGAGACTTGTGGGAATGTAAATTCCTGTTCAAAAGCTTAACAGTCTAGGGAAACCTCAGGACTACTACGCCATTAAGATACTCACAAGGCTGGTTGATTTCCTCGTCCTGAAATATTATGAGTGATTTTTGTTTTTAATGGGGATACTGCAAAGCCATCCAACTCTTCCCTAATATTCATAAGTTGATGATGTCCTCTTCACAGAGATCTTTATCATATACCTCATAGAAGAGCTTGGCAGCCACACAGGTTCTCACGCATCCTCTTTTATGGTACTCCTCTCTACGGACACCAGTTAGCTGAGTTCCAGGCAGAGGCCAAGCCACTTACCTGATCTTGTGACCACAGGATTTTCCTGGTCTGACCTCCCAACTGTGACATTTTTTCAACAAATATAAATTTCTTTGGGAGAATAATAAAGGTACTCCTTTATGAGAGACTGCAAAATTATTATCAATTACCAATTACATGTTATAAAGGCCAGTAATAATTTTCCAGATGCTTGGTCCTTAGGCCCTGTTATTAAATGCCTTATTGCCTGTAACTTCTTTAAAAATGACCTGGCATTTCTCTAATTCTATAAAACAAAGAAAGAGTCTCCAAGTGTTTCCTTAAAGCACCCATTGTGGGATCCATAGTAATCGCTACTTGATCTGCTTTTATACAACAACTGTTGCCGCAGTTATATATTCTATATCTTTAAAATACACCCTTTTACAATAAGTTTCACCCTATAAAAGGTTAATGGTCAAGCATGCTTCTTGTGGCTTGAGATCCTCTTACTCTGTACTGTTGTGCATTGAATATACTCTTTTTTTAAACCTGATTGGGTCAATTTGATTCTAACATCAGTCTCTCCACATGAATTATTAACTATTCATAACATATGAATGCAAACGGATAGATCACTGACTTTCCCAATCTGTATAAGATCTATGTTTATTTACGCAAACAATTGGCACTGCCTTTTGATAGATTTGGCCCCCCTCTTCTGTTAGAAAAGGTCTTGCCCTTTGCCTATCTGGAACCCTTCTCTTAATCTTTTCCACTGTTCTTGACACTTAACTACCTGCTTACTCATGACACATACCACTTAAGAACAATCCAGTTTTATAAAAAGGGATAATAGTAGTTTTTGTACTAATGAATTGTTTTCAAACTTCACCAAACTGGCCCACGTCCTTCCATGACCAGATGTCAAAAGATGTACTGGTCTTCTGAAAGGCCTTTGGAACTACTAAACTAACTGCCTGTTTAGTTTTCTACAACTTTGTATAATAATCCTTCAGGCATAACTTAATAGTCACTGATCACTATATGTGAAAGTATAACCTCTGGTAAGATGTGTTTTTACTGAACTCCTGAGTTGATCAGTCCAGGCCTGACTAACCTTTCTGACCAAATCTTAATTACCTCCAATGACCCTGGCCATAGGTGTGAATCTGTTGGTCTATCAGATAAATCATGGTCTTCGCTAGTGTTAAAATCAATTGCAACCATATGCCACCTGTCAGAACTCGCTATGTTATCATAGAAGTAACTAGTAAGTGGAATGTTGAGACCAGGTTTCAGTGCCACCTGCTCCGTAGTGGAATGGTTCAGCTCTTCCCCATTTAACTGCTGGTGAATTGCTAACTACTAAATGCTAACATTTAACTGCTATGAATGCGGACAGTATCCCATCAGTATCCTTCTGCGTCAAGGCTCCCCATACGGCTGCTTTGCTAGCATCAGTGAAAACAACACTGTCGTTTTCAGTTACAACATAAGCAACTACAACCCAAATGCATAGTGTTCAATTATTGAACACTCATATAAATTAGCTCAAGATGTTTGATTATATTGTGTTCAAGAACAAGCATCATTTCCAGAAAACAGTGTGCCCAAACTTATTCGAATTAGCAGAACACCTGATACTTATGTTTGCATGCATTTAGTATTTGACAAAGCTTACAAGCAGCATTTTAAGTCCCTTTATTTAGAGTTGCTGCCTGTAATAACACTTTATTATTTTCCTCAAGTGAGGCTTGGGATTCAGAGCACTCCAGAGTCCGGATTGAGTTGCCAGGTTTTTCTTTGGTGAAAATCGACACACTATTGATATGTAAAAAGTAAGATTTTGGATTATCAAATATGGGATGGAGAGGTTAGTTTAATGGCCAGTTTTAATTTTAAGAGTTATGAGTAGACAGCTTATTGTGCAATACCAATTTTTTGTATATAATTTATTTGTTACAGTGTGTATGATGGGAATGAGAAAATC